AAAATTGAAGAGTGCAATACTCAAGCCTTTGTTCGTCAAAATTATGACCATTACTACTCTAAAGCCTGATTATGTTTTCAAGAAATAGCTTTCCTATGAGAAGCTCTTTATTAACCTTTACGACGAGTACTATTACCTCATGTAACCATCCAGTAATAAAACACATCTCAGAGCTTGCAAATATGCAAGGAACTAAAATCATTTTCAAGTAACTTCCCAACCAATTGGAGCTCCATCTTTTTCTTAAGGCACCGTTGAAGTATTTTGTGCACTTCATTCCAGGAAGACTCTAGGATTTGATTCAGCGTTCGCTGCGAAGCAAACAGAAGGTCATTTTCCTTGTAGGCCCCAAGTTTTGGAGGGAAACATCCTAACAGAGAGCTGTAGACCTCATTAACGGGAAGAGACTGTTAATCTCTTTCAATCGCCGAATTTAGAAATGACAATTTCTATACGAAGCTTTCGGTAATCATTACAGATATTAGGGTAAGACTCATGAACTGAAACTCATGCGGACAGAACGAGATCTTAAGTGTTCTCGGCAACTACTTATTTTTTGAAAGAGTGAACATATCTGTCCACATAGTGATACAGAGAGATTTTCGGAGAGCAACCCGAGAAAATAAATTCGACAATTCAAAATTTTCAAACGTTTCAAATTTCGGAGGCGTTCTGTAAGATTTTTTGAGATATGAAATTTTGAGGAAAAGAACCGCTGAAGTGATTTTCGACCGAGCTCCTGCTCTCATTTGTGGTGTGTGCCTTGATATTTTTCCAACAAATGGAGAAAACTACAGTTTATTCTATAAGCCGCCTCCGAACGACTGATGGTTTTGAACGAGGAGCTTTACTTCATGTCAGAAATACACTCGAAGGGCTTGAGAATTCATGCCGAGGGCTGACCGAATATAGAAAAATTAATTTTCTTTAATATTGGTTGTTGGTCGAACCAGGTCTCGAACCAATACTCAAACCCTGGGTTTTAGAATGAAAGTACGCAATGCTAGTCATTCGGCTATTGCGGCCGCCGTACGTCAATAAACATGAAGGACTTGCCTTGCCCTATCTTGGTATATATGTACTTACATATGCATGTGGGTATGTATACGACAAATTCTACTTTTGCGTTCAACAAACCCAATTCTGATGACTCAAATGATCGTAATTGTAATTTTGATTCAGTTTGTGGGCGTTTTTTGGCACAGCTTCATCAGACACAAAGCAAACACAACTACAATACATACATACATACATATATGTATGTATAACAAGTAAATGGTTGGATAGTAAGTATCGATGTGCATAGGCTTATGTAAATAGTAATGAACATACATACAAATGTGTATAAATAAATATTTCAATAATGATAAAAGGCAACAAAAACGACTACAGCAACAAAAAAAATCTAATTTATTCAAGAAACACAAAAACGAGTCGGATGATGAATAGAACTTGTCTGCTGCTGGTACGATTTTGCATTCAAATTGTTATTGTTACTGTTATTGTTATTGTTATTGCTATTATTATAGTTGCTGAAATCATGAACTAATTTCGCGCTAATGCGCTTGCACACTTTGCCTTCATCTAGTATTCTATGCCACCATATCTACTACACTTGCTAAGCTTCATTGGTTACAGACTCTTTTTTTCTTCTAATTTTTCATGCGATTTATTTCTATGTGCATTTGTTAGTACACATGTACGAGTATGTATATATACATACAATACATACATATATTGTCTACAGCATCATCATCATCATCTCAAATTTATTTCTTGGCACACAATTGTTTTGTTGTTTTGCAATAAATAAAAACTAATAATATTTTTTTTTCTTTTTTCTTTTGGAATTTTTGCTTTCTTTTCCTCTGCTATTTAAGCTCGTAATTCAGGTTTTTCAAAACCAGCAGCGGTAAAAACCTTTCCCCAACAACAAACAAATGAAGAAGAAAAGCAAAAAAAAACAACATAGCAAAATTATTGATAAATTAAGTGCACAAAACATTTGCCAAGTGTTTTTTTTGCAAATATCTTTTATTATTTGTACAAGAAAAAATTAAAGAAATTCCACATTTTTGTTGTAAAAATTTGTTTTAAAAATCTCATATTTTTTTGGCATTCTTTATGACTTTGCAATTTATCATGTTTGTCATTATTAAGGCATCAAATATATATATTTTTACAGGTTTCTATTGCACTCAATTAATTTTTTTTTTTTTTTTTTTTTTGTGAAATTGTTAAAAATTAATTTTCGTTTGTAAATTCGAACATCGTGTAGACCAACACAACACCTCACTTTGTAGCACGCTTATTGTTTTTTTTTTTATTTCCTCATTTTATTTACATAGTCACTATGCGTCGTTATTATTTAGCACGAGTACGCACAGTTTACTAGTTTTGCCTTCACGTCCAACTTTTATGCGTGCGCCACCTCACAACCGGCTCGTCCAAATTCACGTATTCAACTGACTAAACTGAGCCGAGCTGTGTTGCGCTGAATCGTTGTCGTCGCCGGTGTTGATGATGGCTTTGAGATTTTAGTTGTGCGTCTGCAATGCAATTGGCATAAGGCTGTCAGCAGCCGCCGTGCTCAGCGTTTGGCGAAGAGCCAAGTCGAAAGTGCCGATGCAAGTTGCAAAAATAAGAGAAAAAAAAAACACAAAAAGCTGGTCTTTGACATTTTAAGCTTGAATGGTTGTTGATTGGTGCGCTCGTGGTTTGTTTTGTTTGTTGTGTCGGAGAGTCGAAGATTGGAGAAAAAGACGTTAAACGAGACTTGCATGCATTTGCAGTGCAGCACGCGAGTCCGCTGAGAGAGCATGGAAATGTGGTGATCACTGTCAATGCTGAATTAGAGAGGGCAGAGGGAGGTTTTCGCAACTGTGCAATGCAGGTGTGTAGTGCCGAATGCGTGAGTGTAGGAAATGATTTTAACCAAAACAAACCATCAAGCATGCCATGAATCCTCTTTACAACTCGTTTTTTTTCTTTCTTTTTTTAACTAAACACAGAGTGGAAATCAGTTAGCTGTTCAGTAATATACTCCGACAAAAGATGATTTTAACTGATCAGGGGTAGCACTCTAAACCGAAGAGTTGAGTTACATAGATTGAACAAAATTATAAAACTAGAAATTTCGTAAGATAAATTTCGCCGTTAGAAGGCAATTGGAAAATTCTTAACTTTGCTAGAGACTCTTTTTGAACCAGCACATACCTCTACGGGGTATTTTATGTGTAGTATGACAACTATAATGTAACAGGGGCCATGCTCGGAGGTTCTACGAAAAAATACAGTGAATTACAGACGGCTTCAAGATCGGAGCAAACTATTGTAGAACCCAGAGAAGTGAGCTAGCGACTGATTCCCAAACCTAGAATATACAAAATTTATGAAGGATCTCCGACCTGCTGAATGGCAGTGAAAATGAAACACCAAGAGTAGACGAGTTAGATTCCCCAATCGATGCCATTACCTCTCTACGATGAAATCCGAAAAGTGGCTGTCCGGCTGAAGAAAAGGAAAGTATTGGTTTGATGAAAGCATACTTGGCGATTGGAACCTAAGTACGACCAATGTCGCAAGTAAGGTCCTAAAAACGCATTGTGCGAAAGACCAAAGCGAGTCGATCACAAACATATTGGACCTTATCAGTGTTGCTTTAGACCTTGTAAAGCTACGATTAATCAGGAATTCAAACTTTGGGAAATACACGTGAAAAGAGGTTCGACACACAGCATCTCTTTGTCGATTTTAAAGCAGCCTTCGACAGCACGAAAAGGGCCTACCTCGAACTTGCTATGTCTGTAATTTGGTATTCCGGGAAAACTTATACGGCTGACCTCACGTCCGTTTACAGCAACATCAAAAGTTCCATCAGGATCGGGAAAGATATCTCCGAGTCATTCGATACCAAAAGAGATTTCAGGCAAGGTGATTCTTTCTCATGTTGCTTCTTAAATTTATTGCTGGAGAGATTAATAAGATCTACAGAGCTGAATAGCTGTTGGTTATAGGAGCTTACAGCTGCTGGTATACGGTGATGATATTGACATCATTGGCCTTTGAGTACTAGATAAAGAAACGTCTCCACTAATTGACTTTATCTCTTGGAACCGTCAACAATACCAACCACGTTGTCGGCATTGAAATATAACGCAGAATATCTTCCGACCGTAGCACCTATGGTTTGGGCTGAATACGTAATTCAAAAGTAAAGTCCTCTTTCTATGAACGAAAACCAAATCCTATAAGTCGCTACAGAGGAAGTTGAAGAGCTCCGCTTTGTCGGTGTAGCTTTTGGCAATTAACATATTCGAATCAGTTTAGTGTTCTGTATCTTTAGTGGCGCAGTTCGCTTCAATCACATTGTAAAGGAATTGTAGTGGAGAAGGAGCAGTGTATACAGTGATATTTGAAACTAGGGATGCTTCATGAACAGCGGAGTGTTCCCTTATACAGCCAAAGATAGATCTCAGCCCGTCAACATTACCGTCACCTTAACAGCAAACCTGGAATATGTACGGAAAGTAGCATAGTTTTTTTTACCAGAATTTAAACATATAATTTGAGTGCAGATATTAAGGGTCTAATTGCAGAGTCCACCGCAACCGAATCCGATTAAGACTCCCCCATAGTCATCCACTAGTCGTTGTAAGACTCCTGTGTTAGGCGTTCTTAGTACGAACTGTGCTAGCTTGACCAAAAGTTTTCCTAATGGAGACAAGTTTTATTTTATTTAATAGGGTTTGATTCAATGAATGAGTTTTCTTTTAGTATCCTTCAAGAGAGTCGGGAGACTCTACATTAGACTGTGTGAAAGGTTCATATTAGAAATATATCAAATAAAAACTTTCGCAGATAAAATGAGAGGGTAGCCACTTCAGTGGGTTGTTCGTCCTTTCGGAAATCCGTTCAAGTATTGGAAACTCCTTATGTACGTCACTACTCTCTGTACTTTCGAACTGACTAAAAAACATTTTGCACTTCGTCAAACTCACCTTTCCTCATTCGCCTCATCCTTGTATACGCTTGAATACATGCCGTTCAATCCAGTCAATTGACATATAAAATCTACGTTCACCACATATGGTGTGCTGGTACGGAGCAATTCCTCCAATTCAATTATCAGCAGCTCACGTTCCTCACTCAAATAAAATGATTTAACACGTATGCGCATATATGCCATGACATTTAGTATGCTGATGCCATTGATCTCCAGGTCCTTAGAATGCATAACAATCAGGTTTGTTGGCACATCGACCTCAACTTGTACGGTCACCGAGCCTTCGCAGGTGTTCGTATCGAAGTTCGGATGCCAATAGAGGCGATATTTGACGGGACGAATTTCGGTTGGTAGACGATAAATAATCTGAAAAAAGAGAGAAAAGTTGAGTAAAATTTAGATATGACGCAAAATATTATTGTGAGGTTGTATTAGGAATAGCGTCACAAAGACTGTGTTGCCATCTGTAGAAGCTCACGCAAGTGACGGAGGTTTTTGACTATCATTCACCTGACATTCTTCTACTTATGGTTTTCGACCAAGTATCTGGGTAGCCAACAATCATCCGTTTAGTGGAGATCTAAGGTGAGCAGGCAAACTCTTCTTGATTGGGCGCACAGTTTGAGACCCACCGCGTTGAAAATCACTATCTCTCATTGATGTCAAAATTTGTAAGGATCACAATTTGAGAGCAAGCACAAGGCAAGCCCGGTTTCGCTAGTTGGGAAGGTGGCTGGCCAGCTGCTTGTTGTTTTCGACGAGTAAAAAAATTTGTGAATGACGTAAGGCATGTGAGTGCGTACTTTCTGAGAACCTAACATCGATTCGGGTCACGAATTTGCCGCAGCAAAGATATGTACTTGCCTCTGTGTAGCCAAAATAAAGGTTTCACGAAAAGCTGCAATGACAGCAGACAGCTTGTCTGCTCTATGCTCTGCAAATTGTTGAGAACACCCATATTGCTATATTGGAACTGTGGAACGGATACCTACGTACCGTCGCTGCAGAAACAAATGGTTTTCGACAAATTTGGAAGAAAGCTGGTACTATCGTGAACTGCAACACCTCATAAGGGTGTGGGATAAATAGCGGGAACTGAAGAGGAAAGAAATATAGATTTGCCATCGGAAAAAAGAGGGCATGAGTTTAGGAAGCTAGCCGACAAAAATAAACCTCGAAAATTCTTTGGAAAGCCGTGACAACTTATAGAAGGTATTCAGACCCGAGCATAATTTTACACGACCAAACGTAGATGCCCAGAGCGTACTGAGAGTTAAAGACCAGCAGATAACGAACTTGATTCCCCAATCGCTGACAATAGAACAATCATTCTATTGGCCGACTATGAAGAAGTTCGAAGACATAACTTTGAAGTCACAGATTATTCCGTCCACAAGCACTCTTAACCAAAATTGTTACTTTGAAACAAGAAGAAGAGTGAGATCCTCTCTCGAAGAGCAAAACTCAACATCTACAACGGAAATAGTTTGAGGAAGATTAATAGTCCTTTGAACCTTGGCAAAGGGGGACTAAAACATATGCAGCATCGATGAGCTGTAAGAGATATACCATGCCATTGATACAGTTCAATGAATCAAGAGGCTGTCTCTGGATAGGTTATGTAGTCTGTCTGGCTGTGACAGTATTCGATGCAGTACTTGCCGGTGTTAGCTGAGGAAGAGGAAAACCTACTCTACACCGGAGGTAAGATCGGTTGGAAAGGAGCCTGGATTCACTTCGAATTTCCTAGGCTGAACGAAGGTAATAAAAAACGACTGGCGCGCCATAAGATCGGATGAAAAAGAACCTGGCGCGCTATTATTGACTCGGATACAAATGCAATTTATATAGACCGTTATACATGTACATACATACGTGTATGTATATCTATTGGTATAAGATATATGAGTACGTGATATTTGAATGTTTGTTGAACGAAAGTTGTAAACTTTTTATCTGTACTTTTGCAGCGGCAAATATTATTAGATGTGTCATTTCCTTCGCCTACCACAGAAGGCGTATAAAATTTAAAATTGCGCAATAAATAGATAAAAAGCGCAATAAATATATAAATATATGCATAACATTTGATACATATATGTATTTTTTTTTTGTTTAAAGAAATTAGCAAACCACAAAGAATCCTGAGGGATAATTAAGTGTATAACGAAAGGAAGAATTATACATATATAAGATTAGGTTTAGTGAAAAGTAATCCATAATTTTCTCATTACATTAGTCTCCTTAAGAATCCAAAAAAGCGGGTTTCAGTCATATTTTTTGAAAGGGAAGGAAATTATTGCGGTAAACGAAGTTTTCAAACAGTAACCTACTTATATTCAAGCTTCAAAAAAAATTTGTGGCATAAAAAATATTAGATTTTTCAAAAGTTGTAAGTTTTATGAAGCGGCTGCTGCCTGAACTCGTGAAAGAGTGCGGGTAATAGAGGTCGTGCCATGCTTGTGCATTTTTTTTTTTTAATTTGGTTAGTGTCTCGTCTATATGAACTAAAAAAAAAAATACCGAAGAATAGGAAAATTTTCGAAGTTTGAAAAAAAGTTCTCTTAAAGTTGCAAACAAAAATAGTCTAAATAATATTTTTGTCAAACTTTTTTAGATCAAATAGAAGTGAATTGTATACTGAAGCTACTTCACTTTAATTTTTTTCGATCAGGCATATGTATATTCTTTTTGCTATCATCGGCACCGTTTGGTCTAGTAAAAAGTTCGCTCGGTTTTTTTTTTTATTTATTTTTCAAAATATGTTAACTTTGTGTATATTTTTCCTATTTAAGTCAAATATGCGCCGTTTTCTTCGTAAACTTGTTGCCAACGAGATGCCAACTTCATTATACGCCTGTCGGAGAGGGATCCATCCCTATTGGCAAAAAGCTCGGAGAGCCAACTTTCTCAGGCCTCTCTTGAGGCGAACTTCTCACCATTAAGCGCATTCGCCATGGACAGGAAAATATGGTAATCACTTCGTGCCAGGTTCGGACTATAAGGTACATTAGTTTCTTGGCCATCGTCTAGGCCGCTTCCCCAATAGTGCCAGTTCTTGGACAGTTTTAAAATAGATTTAAAAAAATGAATTTGAAGCCGCCAAAACAGAATGCTGCCTTCAAAGTTAGATTTACCATAGCTAGATCAAAAAAAAAGACCTTTTTGTAGATATTGTCAGTATGACTCTATCATAGAAACCCTAGCGACATAAAATTGGAGCAATCGATTTTTTTGAGGCTGAATCTTCCTCACCGATTTGTTTCGCCATTAACAGAAGCAGTTGTTAATCACTCGGTGCTAGATCCAAGCTGTAATGTGGATGCATAAGAACCTTCAATTTAGCTTCTGGCGTGTCACTATCAATGCACGTGGTCTGGCATTGTCCCGATGGCTCACAAAAGAGAGAAGGAATTCTTGTTGGCCAAAACTGGACTGACCAATTGCTAATAGTACAGGTTCGAGTTAAGAGTTTAACCGTGGATGACTTCTAATCAATCCCAGCAAATGCACAAAAACAACTTCCTGGACGTCAATCCTAGCTATACTTCCTTGGAGACTATTTGTGACGGCTCACTGCTCTTCTATCACGACCGTTTTCATTTCAAATTTTGGAAGTCATGATCCCCTTTAGAGATGGGTCGATTTCGTTTTTATTCAATAGTGATTTTGAGATGGAAATTGAGGTTATTTCTCGATAACTTTCGTTGGCACTCAAACACCACGTTGTTTCATGGATCTAGCCGGATGGATGCGAATACTACAGCTTTGAAAGTTTTCAATGCAGTACCCGCTGGTGGCAGCAGAGGAAGAGGAAGACCTCCACTCCGTTGGAAAGACCAGATAGAGAAGGACCTGGCTGTACTTGGTATTTCTATATGGCGCCAAACAGCAAAAGAAGAAACGAATGGCGCTAGTTGTAAAATCGGCCAAAATCGCGAAAGCGGTGTCTGCGCCAGTAAAGTAAGTAAGTTTATCCGGTAGATGTCATTTTTGAAGTTGTCATTTTTTGACATTTGACAAGAAAAAACCATGCATGCTTTAACAACGCATTGAACCAATTGAAATTCACTATGAAAATTTCATCGAAAAATCATCTTGGCTGTTGAGGCTCATTTCCACCTCGATAGCTATGCCAACAAGTAAAAATGTTGCGTCTGGTTATCGGCAAATCCAAGATTTATTCTCGAAAAACCGCTGCATCCACAACCTGTAACTGTTTGGTGCGGTTAATGGTCTGGTGGGGTCAGTGGACCTTGCTTTTTCAAAAATCCAAGGATTGCGCTACGGAGAGATGTTTAATGATTTATTATGGCCGGACTTGGATGGTAGTGATCTGGACAACACACTAGCAACGAAACCATCGATCTTATAAGTATAAAATTTCTTTGAATGTCAAAATAGCACCTCTTATTAGAAAACCCGTTGGAAAATATCAAACTTCGAGCGCCAACTAGCATAATTCAATCGATGCAGATCACTTAAGCCATTAATTGCAAAAGTAATGGATGACTTATTACTAAGCCTAATAAAATATAATTTTTGGTTTAGACTAATGGAATAAAACCTGACACGAACTATTTTTGTAAATCTTTATATTTATCTATATATGTATGTATGTATGTATGTAAAAAACTTCATTTCATTTTTAAAAATTGACTTAAAATTTTCTCATTTTGTTTTTTTTTTTTTGATATTTTTTTCCAAAAAATTTAGTTATTTTGTATAGCAATTGTTGTTGTAGTGCTAGTTGTAGTACTCGTGGTAGTTGTCTCTCTAATTAAAGCATCTAAAACGTCCAACTTCTCTAGAGCTTCTTTCAATTTCTCCGATGTATTGATATCATCAACAATGAAAATCACCAAAACGACAAGCAGTATTGTACTGACCAAACCAAGTGCAATGGCAACCCTGCGCGCTGTGATTTTTTCTTTAATAATATGCATTTAATTAATTTTGGAATATTTTAAAAGAAAAAAAATATATTTACGTCCTCTAACATACCCAAAACGTTGTCAAACATAGTGATTGGTGCTCTCTCTTCGTGGTTTTCTTGAAACTTTCTCTCCTGAAGCGTTGAGAAATGACTAAATTGTACTTTCAATCAATTAACTGTTATGCGCCGTTAGGCAGAGACACAGAATTTTTTCATTTTTACATATCATAAAATAAATGTTTGATAAAAAGTTTGAGTCGATAATTCTAGTTCCAGGTGCTAGTGGACACTCGCAACGCATATATACATACATACATACATTCCACACGTATTATGTTATATCTGTAAATTTAGCTGCTAATAACCGCTAATAATTCTTAACTCTGATAAAAATTTCGCTCTTTTTTGTTTAATATCTGTGTTTTTTTTTTGTTTTTTTTTTGTCCTAGAATTTAGTTAAAACATTTAATGACTTTTTATTGAACTTGATCAAGAATGCTTATCGAAAATATTATAGTTTAATTATTGCTGCTGGCTTTTTGAAATTAGTTTAATCAGTTATTTTACGATATTACTTTGTATTTAATATCATTAAGCATTAAAAAATTTTCTATGTGTGTGTGTGTACACATATTTTTGGATAAGTGAAAAATGACAGACTTTGGATTGTGGGAGCTTTGCTTACAGGTATATGGATACAAAGTAGAGATAAAGGGTGTTTTCATAAAACATTTAGTTTGCAAGAAAAAACGCCAGATTTATTGTTAAAGTCGAGAGGCAAAATTTTCGAACACTTTTTGTCGCAATTGGAGCCGCTTGTCAACAATAACGCGCCGAATATTCCCCTCCAAGACTTCAATCGTCTCGTGGTTATCGGCGTAGACGAACGAGTTTGAAATCCCACATAAAGTACTCCAGCGTTTCCAATCGCGCGATCTTGGTTGCCACGCCCCAGATAATGCGCTTCCTTCAAATAAATTAATTGTTTAGTTCGTCGTATGGCATGCAGGGCCGTCCTTTTGGAATCAAAGGTCATACCTATAAGAACCGCCAAATCAGTCAGGAAAAAATTATAGCTCTATAGCGTTGCCTATTTACGGTAACATAATGGTCGGCTTTATTTTTGAAGAAATATAGTCCAGTGATTCCCTCTACCCAGAGAGTACACCAATTAGTCACTTGTTAAGGATGTTACGTCATCTACACGCTGGCTTGTGGATTATCAACACTCCTAATGTGGATTTTTTGTTTATTTATATATCCATGAAAGAATAGAAACTGAGCTTCATTGCTGCGAAAATTTTCTGGGGAAAATCGGTATCGTTGGTCAACTTGTTTTGGGCCCATTCACCGAACGAACGACGCGATTGTTGGTCGTTCGGCTGCAGTTATTGTACGAATTGGATTTCATTAGGTGGCAAACCAAGATCCTTCCTCAAAAGACTTCAATAAATATGATGGACAAAGCTAAAATTGTTGTACGCGATGGTGAAGGGACTCATTCAGGTCTTCTTGGACGCTCCGCTCCACAGCTGCAATAGCGTCTTCAGTGCGTACGTGTTGTAAAACCGAGTTACCAACTCTGCTGGATGATTATATGCGCCGAATATTGGACATAGCAAATATTCCAGTGTAAGTCCGTTCATTATGAAATGTCAACTGAAACGGATCATAAATTAAGTCACAGCTGCCAAAATGACCAAATCTGACAAAATTTTGCCTCATTGAAGACTTTATATCTAAAACCGCCCTCGTATGAAATGATGGTTCTTGCCTTTGACATTTTAAAAGGAAATAAATTGGAAAAAATTATAAAGTAGGATTTTACAATCCACTTAGTTCTTCAGACTCTTTATGCGCCTTTTTAAGAAGAGTTCCAAATCAAGACTAAAAGAAAATAAAGTAGAAGTAAATGACTGCTGATCTTCGACTGTGATCGAAAGTGACGATCGAATGAATGCTCATTTTGTATGGAAACGCACTCAATAACGAATAGCGGTACTGTGAGCGTCGCTCGTGTGGACTGTTCAAAAAGTTGTTTAAAAATTGAGTTTATATAAATTTGTGATTAAAACTTTACACATTTATTGGAGAATATTTTCCGAAAATCTAAAATTGATCCGACAAACAGTCTCAGAGATATGATCGTATCAATAAGTACGTCTCGTCGCGTTCGAAAATAGGCCCAGCGCAAGGCGGAGTAGCCTAAGCTGTATCGTCATCGCTATGCCTTTGTAAACGATGTTTAATATGTTCGGAACTCAAATACTAAGAAACGGTGAAACGATTGAACCGTTCGGCTTAAAATTCTCACGCGGCCTACTAAAACATATTTTTTAGGTATTAAAAATTAGGTATTAATAATAGGTAATGTTGAAAACAATTTCGATTTTTTAAGCCACTTTGAGGTGTAGCATTGCTCACAAAAAAGTATTATTATTATTTTTTTAACTTTTTTTTTGGAAGCCGCCATTTTATCAAAATCAAATATTTTTACTTTATTCATTAAAATACTAAATTTTTATTATGTTGGGATTTCGAATAATTTGAAGCAGAAATATCTTCCTCATTACCAGACACCTTATTTTGGAGGCCTGTCTGGAGATAGGCTACAGGAGCAAGAGGATCCAATATTTTTTAAAATAATAAACGATTCTCTTAAACTAATTTAAATTCTGTCTATTAACATTTTTGTATTAATCCAAGAAAGACATTCACTTTGTTTTGCAAGTGAGTGCCCCTAATATCGTGTGATATATAGTGATCGAAAAAATTCTTCATTTTCTTATATAATTTTCTTTTCAATATTGCGTAAAATTTAATAAAAAAAATATTATTATATTATTATTATTATATTATTATTATTATTATTATTATTATTATTATTATTATTATAGGATTTATCCTTCAAGCTAATTAATATCAAAACATTCGATTCACAAAAGACTGAGAAAAAAATATTTCTTTCATTCATTTTATAAATGTCTAAGATGGAGATCTAGAAATGCTGAGCCGATACACCATAATATTCCTCCTACGGCCTTTGTTTGGGTCGCTTAAAAATGTAAAATTTAATATAATAAATAAATTATATTAAAGTAAATCAAGTAAAATATAAATCATTATTTAGCAAAGCATCGAAAAGCAAGAATTTATTCGACGAAATATTCGATACCAAAAGAAAATGCTTACAAAATTCCGTAATACGAATTTGATCGATTATCGACTGCCAGCATTTAACGGAAGTCGGAGGTAAACATTTATCTTGCAACATCAACTTTTTCACATTCACTTGAGCTTAAATGAAAAATGAAAATATTTTTTTGTTTTCTTTAAATATGATATTTACCATTTTCAGGAGGAAAATAATAATCGAAAGTATAAACCGATTCGTTTGGTTTCGAACAGAATCATACAACAGTGACGGCTCTGCAACTGATAGCGGGTGAAAAGCACAAGCTCATTTCTCTTGTATGAATGTATTGAAAAAGAGTCTCCACCAGGCAAAATACAGCTTTAGGGCAAAAGTTTAACGAAATTTGCTGAGGAAAAATACACCTAACTCTCTATCACTCTCATGTTTGGAGGCCATGCAATCCGATCTCATAGTCCTCTAATACACTATGTACTAGTTATATTCGAGGTTTAGAAAAACCTTCACTCATTTCATCAACTCAGTATATTTTCCTTACTCATGCTTAATAATGAGGAGTTATATTGCTAACTGGTTTTAAATCGTTTCATTTCGATATTCCCAAACCACCAAAAGCCTGAGATAATGTTTTGACTTCTTTTACGATTTGTGAACCTTATCTACACCATTTTCACAACACGTAATGGTCATAAATATAATAAATAAATTTTTACTACAGAAACTCACCTCTTCCGGATCTGGTAAACCCGTGGGCAGCGTCGGATAATTCGGATTTGACGTCACGGCTGTTATTGTTGTAGCTGTTACAGTTTCTGTTGGCCAAATAATGCCTGCTGTTGTACGCGTCGATTGTGTGGAGACCGTCGTCGGACTGGCCGTTGAGCTGGGTGTTGTATTAGGTGGATTGGTTGCAGTTCCTGGCGACGTTGTTGAGGGTGTTGAGGCAGTTGCAGTTGGGCTTGCCGTTGATGGCGCGGTTACAGTGGTGGGCAAAGTGGTGGACAAAGTGGTGAGCAAAGTGGTCGGCACCGTATAAAACTCGTCTAACTTATTTAAAGCTTTATCTAAATCATCCTTTAAGTCGGCCTTTTCGACAGCTAAAAAAATCGTTGATATCATAAAGGCTGTTGTGGTCAATGCAAGGCAAATTGCAATATTCGGCGCTGTTAACACTGTAGGATTTTGGAATTATTTTATTTTATTTTTAATTGCAATTCAATTTGATCCTGTTGTCTACTTACGCAGCATTTTGTGCCGATAACAGATTTGTTTTTAAGGATATTCACAAGAAATAGTAAACCTGTTCGTCGGACTGAGTCTTCCGAACTGAGGAGAATTTTTTCTTAGAATATAAAATTTGGTCACTTTTTGTATGCTCGTACTTATCCAATTTTATCGCTCACATGCATGTGGAATCATTCATTTTTGAATTGCGAGTAGCTTTATTAATTTTTATGACTGTAATTGGAGATATTATCGGTCTTTATCAATCAGAAAAGCTATTGCCGTGATCGTGTAGCTTATAAACTCTTTCTTGCATTCGCTGCATAAATGAATTAGCAAATTTATTCCATCGTTATAATAATGGCCAAATTTGATAACTTCTGAGCAATTTGATAGTAGCATTGGAATATTGAGTTCTTCCCATTGGAATTTAACTCGGTTGGAAAATGTTAACTAATAATAAAATGGTTGATATAATTGAATTTCTGATAAAAATAAAATAAAAAAATTTTCGCTAAACGCCATATTGTTATTGTAGTCCTGGTTTCCTAATGACCTGCAAAAGGTGCCAGCAGATGAATAAAATTATTAATTAAATGTAAAAAAAAAAAAATTTAAATGTCATTTCATTTTATTTCATTTCGTTTTATCTTATTTTGTTTACTAGTCTTTTTTTATTTGGCTTATTATGTTTTATTTTATATTTTTCCCACTTTTTCTATTGTATTTTGCTATTTTTTCATCACCTTTATTTAGTTAAATTATTAGTTTTACACTTTAATTGCCTTTATTTCATTTATTTAATTTTATATTATTTTTATTCTATTTAATTCTTTTTTAATTAAAATAAATTATAATATTTTATTTCTAATTACTTAATTATAATTATATAAATAAAATAATTTTATTTTATTTTATTTTATCCTACTTATATTATTTCACTTCATTTTATTTTAGTTTATATTACTTCATTTACTTTTTTTAATGTTAATTTAATTTATATTACATTAGTTTACTTTATTTTAATTTATTTTGCTTAATTTTATATTATTTTTTTTATATAAATTTAATTTTATTTTATTTATTATTTTTTATTTTATTTTAGTTAAATTTTATTTTAATTAAATTGAATGAAATTTAATTTAATTTAATTTTATTTAATTTTTTTATTTTGTTTTATGTTTTTTTATTTTATTTTAACTATCTTCTATTATTTTTTTTTATTTCATTTTATTTATTGTTTTTATTTTATTTTATTTTTTTGCTTTATTTGATTTTATTTTATTCTAGTTATTCAGATATACAACTTTGCTTCCGCCGTTTTCCTATTAGTGGCTGTACCGGCTGAGGCTGGTTGAAATACATAGATGATAATGCCTTTAAAGTGAGTGTGGCCAGTGCCTAACGAATTGTCATCGCCTTTTCAGTGACAGTTGCTATTTTTTTCGTATTATTTACGCTCGAAAATGTCCGTTTATGTGCCTAATTCTCGCCATTTGCGGGAAGTTTTACTTTTCTGTTACAATTCGAAAAAAAAAATGCAGCTGAAGCCCATCTCAGAAACTTGCATTGCTCCAAACCCATCACAGGAGATCGCTACCGAACGCAACTGATCCGCCTTAGTCGCGCGCTAAAAGAAAAGCGGCCACAATATCAAGAGCGACATGACAAAGTCATCCTCCAACACGACAATGCTCGGCCTCACGTCGCAAAAGTGGTCAAAGAGTACCTGGGAACGCTGAAATAGGAAGTCTTACCCCACCCACCGTATTCCCCAGATGTCGCCTGGCAGATCAACATTTTCAATCCCTCGAAGAATTGGAAAAATGGATCGCTTCATGGATAGCGTCTAAAGAGGTCTCCTTTTTTCGAGCCGGGATCCGAAAATTGTAGGAAAGATGGGAGAAAGTTGTCGCTAGCGAAGGACAATACTTTGAATAATATATCTGTAAGCACTTTTTCGCAATAATGCTTTTAATTTTGGAAAAAACGGCGGAAGCAAAGTTGTACACCTGATATGTTTATTTATTTTATTTTATTTTATTTTATTTTACTTTATTTTATTTAAGTTAATTTTATTTTAATTAAGTTTTTATTATTTCATTTCATTTTATTGTTTTAATGTTATTTTAATTTATTTTGTTTCATTTTATTTTATTTTTATTTTTTATTTCAATATATTTTATTTAATTTTAGTTTACTTTATTTTGTTTATTTTATTTTGTTTTATTTTTATATTATTTTACTTTATTACATTTTATTTTAGCCTTCTTTGTTTTATTTGTTTTTATTATTTTTTGTAATTTTTGTTTGATATTATTATTTTTTTTATTAAATTTTGTATCATATTAATTTTGTTTGCATTTGTGTTACTCTATTTTCTTTTATTTTGTATTTCATTTTTATTTTTATGTTTTGATTTATTTTATTATTTTGATATATATTATTTTATCTTAAATTTTTTTTGTTTTACTGTACTTTTTATTTTATTTTATTTCATTTAATTTTTTTAGTTTCTTTTTTATTATTTTCTTTTATTTTATTTTAATTTTTTTTAATTTTTCTTATTTGATTTATTATTTTTTATTTGATATATTTAATTTTGTTTTATTTTTTTGTTATATGTTATTTTATATCAGTTCACTTTATTTTTTTATTTATGTTATTATTTAATTATTTTATTATTGTCAATTTATTACTTTACAGTATTTTTAATTTTATTTAAATTAAATTTATTTTTTATTTCTTTCATATACTTGTACTATTCGACACCTCCTAACGATCTGATTGCAGTAATTTATTGCTGAATTTCGTTGCATGATTTTAGGAGCTTAGAAGTAAAGCTAAAACAGGGTGCTGCTGATACAAGAAAAACTGAGGATTACTCCAAAAATTTGCGAAGTTAAATTTGCAGCGATATCCATACGCTAGAGTATATGCATATACATATGCAATATAAATATGAATATAAAAAGGCCGTAAATATTTGAGATATGTTGCATATATGTATGGTAAAAGCGGTAAACTTTGTGTATACAAGGTATGATTGCAGTTGCAAACACATTGAAAAAAAATCGTTTTAAATTATTCCCACCTTGGTTTATTCAATTTCGGTGTTTCCTATGGTTTTCTATTTACTGTATTAACTTTATTCATTTATATATCTATAATGTTAAATGTAACAATAACGACATGGACTAGACTTCTTCCAGCCACGCGCCAATGCTATTCTTATTATTCGCCAACCATGCAATATTATTTTTAACCGTCTCCAAAGCGCGAACACGTGCCGCCGCACCAGCACCAGCCTCCGGGTATTTGGCAAAGAATTGTTCCATTTCCTCCAATTTTGTTTGTTTATCGAAACGTGAGGTTATAGACGGAATCATACTGCCCAAGTAACGTTCATTCAAGCCGAAACGTTCAACCAATTTAAGCCAATTTTCCCGTACATAATCCCAAACCAAAGGTTCCCCAACCGGATTAGCAGCTATATACTGTAGACAAGTGAAGTAATCCTGGCCGCGTACATTGTTCTCATCCCATGCGAGATTGATGTAGCTATAAAATTTACATTGACGATTCAATTAACAAAATATAAATTTGAGGCTAAAGAATAGCTTTGTACGCACTTGCTCAGTATCCATGGCACTTGTACAGCAGACAGACCATACATTAATTTAGATTTCTCACTGGCATCAATTTCGCTCACAAATAGATTCCACATTGTCTGCCAAGACTGCTCATTAGCGGAGAAAGCGCCGTAATAGTAGATAGTCTCACGAATATCGGGATGCGGCCGTTCGGTTGGCTTACTCAACCAAGTGTTGAAGCGCGACCCAGCTTCGCTCAGACAATCTTCGAGACCCAGTGAACAGGCTGCCGATAGTACAGTTACACGCAAGCGGCTATTAGGAAATTTCCAAATATTATTAATTAATTTAAAATTTTTTTGATGTTATTTTTTTCACTTTGTACATACTTCTCCAAGTGATCTTCGCCCACAGTCCACGTGACGCTCTCGTAGATCGGCTTAATCAACTCGCGCGCATATTTCTTGTAATTACCAAAAACTTCAGTGAACATCAGCAGACGTTTGAGTGAGGTCAACTTTGATGCTGCCACATTCCAGGGCACATAATCAGGTTCCTTTGCCAGATACGCGGTCATATCGAGTGCTGTGTCGTAAGAAAGTTGTGTCGCATCGGCGAGAGAGAAGGCATCGTTTAAGAGTCCCGCACGATCCCCAACTGAGAATTTCTAAAGAAAAAGGAATCACAAAAGAGGTGAAGAGGTGCATATTAAAGGCAAATGAAATACTCACTGTCGGATCAGCGATTAACTGATTCGCCAAACTTAGCCACAAGTCAGCAGGATAGTTGACGCGATAGTAGCCGATCTGATCATAATTGAATTTGATCCACTGCGGAACGGCAGTCAATTCAATGATTACTGCAAAAATTAAAAAAAAAATTATAAAAATTAAAATATTCAAAAATATTTTCAAAATTCTTACATTCCGGCTGATCGTAGTAGAACCATTCTCTCACAGCTTCAGTATCGTTATTTGTTTTATATGTAATTGGTATAGACCATTTGTAACTAAAATGAAAAGAATACAAAAATTTATTATTGATTAATTCATTAGTAGAATTCGACTCGAAACTACTACGCACTTGAAGCGCGAATCATCATAAGTGCCACTATAATCATCAGGATTGGAGAAGAACCGTTTTTGGGTGAGTTTGAACTGTGTAGCGCTTACTTGCTCCACCTCCACAACGGGCAGACCCATTTGCTCGGTCCAAGTGTTCATAATCGATTTCACATCAATATCCAAACCGAGTTTCTCGATTTCTGTTAGGAAATTATCGGTCACAGCATTTTTATATTTATATTCATTCAGATAGTTGGTAACAGCTTTTTGAAAATTCTCAGCACCAATAAAATCTTCCAACATTCGTATGATTGAAGAACCCTTCGAGTAAGTGATAGTGTCGAAAATTTCTGTGATTTGATCGGGATTCGCTACTGTCTGTATGATGGGATGTGAGCCGAGTGTGGCGTCCAAAGTGAGCACGCCATGCAGAGTGCCAGTAATGAATTGGTCACGCTGGAGAAAGGAATGGAAATTTTATTATATAATATATAAATGATGAATAAAAAAAATATAAAATTGTATAAATATATAAAAAAATTAAATACAAATAGAATAATCAATAACAAATAAAATAAAAAATAGGTTAATCAAGTAAGGATAAATTTAAATAAAACTCACAAAATATAAATGATCAATATAAATTAAAATAAACAAAATAGTCTGTAATAATAGAAAATTTAATTATATGAAAAGAAATTAAATAAAATAGAGTGAAATAAAATAAAAATTAGAACATAAAAAAATTAAATACCAATGGTAAGATAAATTAAATATTTCAAATCGAATAAAATAATACAAAATAATATGAAAAATTAAGTCATATAAAAAAAAATAAAAAAAAATAAAATAAAATAAAATAAAATAAAATAAAATAAAATAAAATAAAATAAANAAATGAAAAAAAAACAAAAAATAATAAATTATTATTAACTAAAATAACAATACATAAAATAATAAAATAAACTACTAGTAAATAACAAAATAATTTAAAAAAAAACCCAAATAAAGTAAAGTAGATAAATGAAATAAAAGAATACAAAAAATTCAAAGGTAAATAAAAATTAAATTATATTCAGTAATAATTAAATAACAAAACATAAAGTAAAATAAAAAAATGATAAGAAATGGGAAAGAAAATATTACAATATAACAGAAAATAAAACAAATGAAAGGAATAGAAAACAAAAAATAATATAATGAAATAAACTAAAACGAAATAAATTAGGTAAATTAAATAAACTAATATAAAAAAATTAAAAACTAAATAACATGAAAAAATTAAAGAAAAAATAAAAAAGGACAAAAAATAAAATTAATAAACTAAACTAATTCGCATTATTAAACATTAAAATTAAATGAAACGGAAAGAAGTAAAAATATTATAGTAATGATATAAAATTAAATAAACTTGGACAAATTAATAAAAATGATATTAAAATAAGACAGTGCAATAAAGTAAGAAAATATTATAATAAAATAAACAAATAAAAATTAAACAAAGCAAAATAAATTTATTTAAGAAAATAAATAAAAAAATAAAATAAAGAAAATATTAGTTACTAAAATACAGAACAATACAAAAAAGTAAATAAAATAAAATAAAGTTATAAAAATTAATATAAAATAAGTAAATAAAACAAAATATATATATCTAAATAAAGTAAGATAATATAATATAAAATAATTTAAAATATAATTAAAAATTTAAATCAAATAAAACCAAATAAGATTAAATAAAATTAAATAAATTGAACGAATTAAAATTAAATTAAATTAAATAAGATTTAACAAAATAAAATAAATTAAACCAAATAAAAGAATGTTCAATGAATAACTTAAATAAAAAAAAATTAAAGTAAAATCAAATCAAATAAAAAAATAAGTTAATTAAAATAAAACAAAACAAAAGAAAAAATAAAAAAAGTAAATATAACGAAATGAAAGATAATAAAATAAAATTATACAAAATTAAAAAAAAATAATAATAATAAAAAATTAGAGTAGAAAAAAAAATAATGTACAATAGAATAAAATAAAACGATATTAAAATTAAAACTAAAAGAAAGAAAAAATATTTTAGTAGATATAAAAAATAAAATAATATAAAGCAAATTAATAACTAAAATTAAAATTAGTCAAAATGAAAAACAAAATGAAAAAAAAATTCAATGACATATAAAAATAAAGGGTGATCCAAGTAAAGAACATTTTTTCAATATCCTTTTTTGACAAATCACGCGTAAGTCGAGTCAATCTGCCATGTTATTTTTGTTAAGGCGTTTTATCGAGGAAAGGCAATGAGCAATTTATGGTCAACATAATCGGCCAACTAACCGTACTATTCACCATAAGCACCGTCACCCATTTTAAGACCCAGCATTCAGTATTGGATAACATTCTATAGAATTTACCACGATTTAGCACGCAGTAAAGAAAATATAGAAAATAAGCTGTAGCTGAAGAGTCGATTCGGCACCGTTCGCAGCAACTCGGACGGACGACTTGGCGCATTTTACGTCGAGATCTTAAAATGAAAGCGTATAAAATTCAGCTTGTGCAAGAGCTGAAGCCGCTCGATTTTCCCAAGTGGCATTGCTTCGCGCTGAGGGCTCTGTAAACATGCCAAAAGATCCGACGTTTTCGAGCCAAACTTTTTTCAGCGCTTGAGACCCATTTCGGGCTCAATGGGTATGTAAACAAGCAAAATTGCCGCGTTCAGGACGAAGAGCAACATGTAGCGGTTCAAGAGCTGCCATCCAGAAAAAACAACTGTTTGGTGTGGTTTGTAGGCCTGTGGAAACATCGGTCCATTTTTTTCAAAAATGACGCCAGTTGGAGTATTACCGCCATAATCTCAGCGATATTTGGTCTGAACAAGACGGCAGCACTTCCCACACATCGCATTAATCAATGGATTTGTTGAGAGAACACTTCGGTCAGAAGGCAATTTCACGTTTTGGACCGATCGATTAAACACCAAGATTGTGTGATTTTACACCGTTAGACGTTTCCCATTGGACATAAGTAAAGTAAAAAATCTATGCGGCAAACACTCTTCTATTCAGGCATTGAACCAAAACATAAAGCGTGTCATTCGCTAGTTACCAGTCGAAATGATGGAGCGAGTCACCGAATATAGGACTCAATGGTTTTACCACCCGAGACATTTGAAAGAGATAAACTTCAAAAAATTATTACCAAAAGGTGTAGTAAAAAACACTGCCCATTAAATTTGAACTTATGTTTATTCTTTGAAAAAGTAGGGAACCACGAAATGGACCACCCTTAAAACTGAATAAAATGAAAAAAGTAAATAATAAAACTAAGAGATAAAATGCAAAAAATTAAATCAAATGAGAAAAAAAATTATATATATATTTAAATAAAACTAAGTAAAATGATAAGAAATATTGATCAAGTAAGAAGTTCGTTCGGTTTTTATCTAAGAGATGGCATTATTGTCCATAGTACTAGTCCTACGTGTCACATCATGTCATTCTATATAGCGCTGAAAACGTGTTTATTCCCGCTAAAAGTTTGTTTTTAACAGTTTTCTGGTTGATTCACTCAGTGAGTTGTGAGCGCTTGTCAAAGATGGACACCAGTAAAGCGAAAATTTGCTAAATTTTACAATATTTCTTCGAAAACTCATCCAAAGCGGATGGAAAAATAAATTTAGTTTATGAGCCCGATACTGTAAGCGAACGTGTGGCACAAAAGTGGTCTCCTAGGTTCCGTTCCGGTAATTTCGATGTCGGCCCTTTACTGTCAACAACAGGACCACTTAAAGGCAGCACTCATCCAGAAGAGGCTATCTTTGATAAACAGAGGTCGAATTGTGTTCCATCAGGACAACGTAAGACCACACGTCTTTGGTGACGCGCCAGGAGCTCCAGGAGCCCTGATGTCAGGTCCTAATGACCCCACCTTATAGTCCGGACCTGGCACCAAGTGCTTACCATCTTTTTCTGTCCATGGCGAACGCGCTTAATAGTGAGAAGTTGGCCTCAAAACAGGCCTGTGACAATTGGCTCTCCGAGTTTTTTGCCTATAGGGACGCAGCCTTCGACAAGAGGGGTATAATGAAATTGGAATCACGTTGGCAACAAGTTAACGAACAACCGAACGAACTTTTTACTTGAGCTAATACATTATATGAAATAAGTAAAATGAATTAAATTACAACAACAAAAAGCACTTGATAACTGGCTAAGGAATTGCATTATATTTACAATGCGATTACCACACAGAAGCTTACCATTTTCCATTCAGGAAATTTCGCCTCAACACCTTTATCTTCAATATAGCTCGCGAAACCCTCATTAAGCCATAAATCATTCCACCAAGCCATAGTAACTGTAAATTCGAAATAAAATCAGATATGATAAGTTTTTAAAACTGAATTATGTGCAAAATTTTCATGAAATAAACAAATTTACGATGCGCGAGAATATCGCCATACAAAATGCAATGCTTTTGACATAATCAACTTAATAATCGACTTTTATCTAAGACAGTGTAATCAATGTAATTACCCAAATTGCCAAACCACATATGTGCGAACTCATGAGCAATAACACTCGCGACACGCTGCTTATTCGTCGTTGAGCTAACCTCTTCGTCATATAGCAAAGAGGTTTCCCGATATGTCACCAGACCCCAATGTTCCATAGCGCCAGAGACGAAATCCGGTATGGCGGCCATGTCTGGGAGAGAAAATCCATTACGTTAGAGGGAAAAAGCTTGTCGTACCAAAGAAACTCACCCAATTTTGGCAGCGGATATTCCACCTGGAAGTATTGTATATAATACTCGATCACTGCCTTGCCAACTTCCAAAGCGAAATCGACTTTATCCAACTGCTCGGGTGTGGCAAAAGCACGCAAAGTGAATGTGTTGCCAATACCCTTCGTATCGATTTCAGCCGATTTGTATTTAAAGTCCGATACAATGAAACAAGCTAAATATGTGCTCATCGGCACGCTTTGGTTGAAGTGTACCTCGGTGTATTTACCCTGATACGATGTGCTCTGTTGAGGGGAGGAGTAAAATTATGAAAAGTGTAATTATTTTGGCATTGCCATCCTTTCATCGCACTCACCGCAATATCCATATTTGAGAGCGCATGGTAGTCATTCTCTGTGGGATGTACTAATGTAATGTCGAACGTCGCCTTCATTGCGGGCTCATCAAAGCAGGGAAAAGCGAGACGCGCATAGGTTGGCTCAAATTTAGATGTCGCAATATACCTGTGAAAGTGTTAAAAGTGAGTCTTGACTCATATTTCTGCCGACTTCTTACTTACTTTCTGCTATTATCCGCTTTCAAGTACGACGAACTGTAGAGTCCTACAATTTTACCAGACATATTACCCTCAAACAATATGCCAATCTGAAAGGTAAGATTAGCGGCCAACTCCTCACTCAACTCGATTACCAAAAACTCGCGTACTGTATCCAAATAGTAGTTCTGAACGAATATTGTTGCGCTCGGTGTGTTCACCAAATAAACATTGTTAATTATTAATCCGCTGGAATGGAGTAAAATTTGTTTGATGGCACGCGTTGTTTGGACTCTGATGCGGATTTGACCGGTGAAATTGCCCGTCTCAATGTCGGGATGTAGATAGAGATCATAACTGGTGGGGTAAATGCTGTCGGGCAGTCTGTAGTCAATCTAAAGATACACACACACGCATATATATATAAATATATATATATATAAAGATGCATGCAAATGTAGTAGAAAATGAGGAAGGAAACTCGTTCTTTTTACTTACAACTTCCGGCGCTGTAGTTGAAGACCCTGGTGTTGATGTAGATGTTGTTGTTGGCACCGGCGCAATTGTTGTTGTGGTGGGTGTTGTGCCTGCGCTGCTACTCGTCGGTGTTGTTACCGCGGTTGTGGTTATGGCGGTTGTAGTGGTTGTGGTGGTGCTCTTTAACAATTGCTCTATTTCATCGCGTGCGTTTTGTAGATCGTCTTTTAGATTCGACTTTTGCACAGCCAACACAATTGTGGATACGGTAAAGGCGGTGAGGGCTAAACCCAAACCTATAGCCACCACTTTAGCGGTAATCAACATTTTCAGCCTACTCTCAATTACACTCTAAACTGTGTTGACGAAGATCTTTAATCAACCGTCATATACGGCTCGCTAGCCGTAACTGTTTCTTCAAGTGGGAACGAACCTTCTCGTTCAGACATCAACTACGTCTGTGTCCTTATCTATCTCTATCAAAACAGCATGCATACTTAATCTAATCGCAAAATTTATATGAGTACGATCGAATATAGTTATGTAATATGTAATGTGGGTAAGTGTGATTAAAAACAGTATGGAAATGAATAAGATGAACAAGTCGAAAGTAATTTATTGCAGGGCTCTGCACAATATCGCGTTCATGCCATAAACATAGCTAGTAGTATTAATATTAATCTATGCCATATTTAACATTTTTTCATTCGTATTTTAATAATTTATGAACTGTTGCGATAGTTTTTTTTTGCTTCCATTGCACGCTTGCCAGCTGCAATGCGCGGACTCATGGTATTTATAGCATTCCCGTTGATATCCCAACAAAGCAGGAAAATTAAATGATAACAAAATTTCTACACATCCCGCACCAACGTACTAAGGACGTGCAAAAGTTAATAGAAGAATGAGCAAAAGAGTGAGCAAAAGAGTCGCCAAAACCAAAAACTTCACACAATCAAACCTCTTCAACTGGTCGTTTGTGCTGCTAGATTTCACCGGAGTTTGAAATGCGATTAGGTTAGATTGGTTAAACTTGCTGATGACCCATTGGATCTCACTAAGTGTTGCCAGATGCACTACACACGCTGTTCTTTTCGCAAATTGAAGTTGTCGGTTTGGTCATTCGACCATTTTCGATTGAAGGTTTTGCAGCCCTTATGTGCCAAGTAAGCACAAATTGTCTACCAAATGCTGGACCGTCATACATTCCCTGCATACGAGTATCTTGCACTTGTTGCCCCAAATCATTAATTACGAGGGGATTAAGGAAAGTCCGGCCAGTTGGTGACTTTCAATTTGTTTTTGTTAATTCTAAAAATACCAAGCCCTTTGCATTTACTTTATTTGACTTCGTTTTAAATTTTAGAATAATCAGCTTAAATAGAGACGAAAAAACGCAAGATAGCTCAGGATAGCTCAGATGAAATTCCACCACCAACCAACTCAAACATGCTCTTCGGATTTCTGCGTAATTTACACCCATATCCAACTATTCAGTAAATGCCAAATTGCATATGGAACGATTGCACCGTCTTTAAAGACTATTTCTAAGTGGTTCCGAATATTACATACCGAACATTTTTCCGTAGAGGACGAGCGTCGAGCAGATTGAACGAAATCTTCCACGGGTGACGTCACCGTAGCTCTGGTGAAGTCCAAAATTGACGAAGACACTCGATTAACACAAGAAGTGATTGATAATGAGTTGGGCTTGAATGTCATGGCTGTATTGTAAATATTAAGTAATCCTCTGGGATACACAAAGAAATCTGCTCGATGGATATCACGAATTTAAAATAAGGCCAAAGAGAAGCTCGAGTGCTTTTTGCTCAATTTTTCTTAAATAGATTCGGAAATGGTCAGTCTAGCAACTTTAGTAAAGTCGTTACTGGTGACGAATCTTGGTTCGATAAGTACGATCCAGAAACCAAATAGCAGTCCATGGTATGGAGCCCAACAGGTGCAAAAATCAGCAGCAAAAGTGATTATGTAAGTTTACTTCAGCCGATCTAAGGTCTGTAGCGGCTATTACAGTGGAAAAGAGTTAGACGGTAACTGCTTACCAAAAGTTTTAAAAAACTTGTTGCGGGGCTGCTTCTTACATCATGACAAGACGCCATCCCACACCGCTGAAATTACGAGTAATTTTATTACGATCTCATTTTCAGAAATTAAAAAAAAATTTAAAAGAAAGGTTATAATAACAACAAGACGTTAATTAATGCGATTAATGCTGAACTTGATAAGCTCAAAAGGCAAGATTTTGAAGACTGGCGATTAAGCAGATGAAAAGATAAAATAGGACGAAGATTACGAATAAACACAAAAAGAATTATTTTGTGGTCAACTTACCGAACTTTTGTTGATCACCTCGTATGTGAAGTATTTAGTATATTTACTATGCGCGGCGTCGACTCGGCGCCATACAACGCTTCACCCGAAAATGTGAAGCGCCCACGAAGTTAGTAAAGTCAGCAACCCGATAGGGCATACGTAAGTTAGCGTTGGATATAGGTTTCATATATTTTGAGCAGTGCCCTCAGAGCTTAAGGTCTTTGAGAGCCGAGAGCGTAAAGTCTTTAAGAGAATTTGAGAATATCGTTATACTGAATCGTATTTAGCTTTGATTTAAGCACTTGAGGCACTGCATGATTTCTACTAGATGTATTTTCTATTTCCACATGCATTTGACAGTAGATTTTACTACCAGAAGTTTTGACCGCGTTTACAGTGCCTAATTTGAGGTAAAAGTATTCATAAGGACGTGGCCTTTATTGTTTTTCGCTTCGAAGAAAAAGAATATAATGCCTACCGGACTCCATTGTATCGAGATATGCTTGATTATACGTTGATCATTGCACACTTGCCTATCCTCCTTGTTCAAATTTTATTTCCAAATAATCGATGGTAGCAATTTCCAGCTATACTTCTTCACCATTGGCGTTGGCATCGCTAACAGGAAAATAGCCTAATAAACAATAGTGCGCCAATTGGTTCTTCTCTTCGCTGTTGGAAATATCAAGTGAAACCAAATCGCTCTCCACCTGATGCCTTCAACAGAGTGGTGGCCTTCCTCTTCCTTTGCTTCTATCGGTGGGTACGATTTTTCCAATAGATCAACCCCAGGCCCATTTATCGGAGGCATTTATTGAACGCAGAACTTTTTTGAGCTTAATTTCTCCGTTATCTCTTGGAAGTACCCACGGCAGTCTTCTTTCACCCGTGTCAGAATTTCATCGGTTGTTTGAGTGACTGGCCGGACACAACAAAATCGAGCAAGCTACTCCTGGGCCTGACGTTCAGTTACAACATTTTCCCAGAATGCATTTCTTAAGAAATTTCACAAAGTTTAAAATAAAAAATATCACATCAACCAAATAGATTGCGTTGTAAAAGATCGAACACATGCCTTCGACTTATTAGATGAGAATGCTCACCGAGGTCCTGAAATAGACTTGTTACAGCCAAGAACGCGACCCAACAACACTCAAAAATAATTTGACTTTTAACACTCAAGCGAATTGAGGGACGACTTTTCAAGCTTCCCACGTATCACCGCCACAGTAAGTAATGTGGAACTACCGGAGAGAGAATATAGCAACATTGCCACCGCTGTATGTGTGTAAAAGATATCGAGAGTGAGAAAAGGTATTGAAGGTCGGCAGTCGCTACTTCTCTTCGTAGATCAGCGTAAATTTGAAACAGCAAGTAAGACCAGGTTCTTCTCCATTTAAACTTTCCGACGGTGAGGAGACCTTCTTTGTTTTCTACTTACATTCATATCCCTTACAGCACATCGTTTCATTGTCTGATGTATTCGCTCACCATTCTTCTTTGAAAACCTCCAAGCCGACGGACGGGAATGTTGAGCGAGTTTTAAAATTTTGTTCTTGTTCGTCTAGAGAGACGAGCTGCTGGCAACTTTTATATACTCGAGAATATCATCCAGCTTGGCAGCGACACCTTCGTAATTAAGAGACCGGACATTCGTGGCGTATGTGAACAATTCGTAGTTCTCAGTATAATAGTCTTTGATGTCACGGAACTAGTTTTTAAGAGAGAGAGCGCCAAGCCCAATTCTCAAATTCGCTGCTGAAGGGGTACTAGTTGAGCCACATTTAAATAGCAAGCCGCTGGCTGCTAGCAATCGCACCTCCAGTGAACGCAAGCTCCAATTAGACTGCAGTGAATCCTCAAACTGAATGCGCCGTGACTCAAGGCTTCACAAGAGTAGCGCACATTAAACGACGTGAACCCAAGCGGAATTTGAAAAAAAATGGCGGCTGAAAGGCATGAGTACGAGGGAAATACTACTGCTTGTAAAAGCTGTTTTCTATAGAAATAAGGAGAACCAAACTAAGATTCAATTCTTGTAAGGAACAGGACTGGAACACCCCCTAGAGGATCTGTAATGCAAACCAGCGTAGAGCTTCTAAAAGAGTTTTTTTGCACCAATCTAATCGCGCAGTCTTGTTTCCAGATCAAAAAGTCTTTGTCCAAGCTTAGATAATTTAGTACCTCAGAATATATTTGTTCTATAACACATATACATACATACATATATATTTAAAAAAAAAAAGCACTTTCCACTTAAACTTTAACACTCAAGCCAAATACTTCTCCAACCAAGCGTCAATCGGTTCCCTATTATTCGCCAACCACTCAATATTATTCTTAACCGTCTCCAAAGCGCGTGTACGTGCCGCCGCACCAGCGCCAGCTTCTGGATATTTAGCGAAGAAAAATTGCATATCCTCCAACTTGACTTGCGTATCAAAGCGTGCCGTTATTGCTGGTATCAAATTGCCCAAAGTGCGTTCGTTTATGCCGAAACGCGCTACCAACTGTGGCCACTGTTCGCGTACATAATCCCAGACGATTGGCCTACCCACAGGATTGGCGGCGATATACTGTAGACAAGTGAAGTAGTCCTGACCGCGCACATTATCCTCGGACCAAGCGAGTGTGACGAAACTGAAATGAAATAGAGAAATTTGGAATAAAGTTGTGGAAGGCAAGTGTGGTGTTTTATCTTGCTATGACCTACTCATTTAAAATCCACGGCACTTGCACAGCTGATAAGCCATACATCAATTTCGACTTCTCATTCGCATCGCTCTCGGCAATGTACAGCTGCCACATGGCATCCCAGGTTTCTTCATCGCCAATCGTTTGCATGCCGTAATAGTAGACGGTTTCACGTACATCAGGATGTGGACGTGTGGTAGGCGCCGCAAGCCAAGCTCTAAAGCTTACTGCTGCCTCCTCCAGACAAGACTCAACGCCGAGTGAACAGGCGGCACTGAGTACAGCTTGACGCAAGCGGCTATTAAGATGAGAATTTGTAGTACAGAAGTTTAATAAACCGATTTGTAAAATAAATGAAACTCACTTTTCCAAATGATCTGTGCTCACCGTCCAGCCAACCTTCTTATATATGGGTTCTATTAAATCACTTGCGTACTGTTTATAGTTTATATAAGTCTCGGTGAACATTAATGAATTCTTGAGGGAAGTCAGCTTAGAGACGGCTACACTCCACGGCACGTAGTCCTCTTCTTTAGCTAAATATTTCATCAAATCGAATGCGATGTCATACGAAAGCTGTGTAGCATCGGCGAGTGAGAAGGCATCGTTCAAAATACTAGCACGATCACCAACACTGAAGGTCTGTGAAAGGGGGTTAAGAACAGTTTTGGAAGCAGTCAAAATTTTCAACTCACCTCTGGATTTTCAATCAACTCATTAGCCAAACTTTGCCACAATGCATCGGGATAGTTGACGCGATAGAGACCGGTTTGATCGAAATTGAATTTAATCCAATCCACGGAACCATCCAAATCGATCTCGACTAAAGGGAAATTTAATTCAATTAAATGTGAAATGATTAATTGGAATTTCAAGATACTCACGACTGTCCTGATTGTATAAGAACCAGGCACGTTGAACGTTATCGGAAGAACTTGTCTTGAAAGTGATTGGAATAGACCAGGTATAACTGCAGGACGCAATAAAATATTAAAAAAGAAATGTCGATTTGATAAGTGCTATTTAGTTTATGGCAGTCATAACTGCAAATTAATTACTAATTGGGTGAAATAAAATTTTATTTTTATCGAAGCTCTAGGCTTTTTCTAGATTAAGTTGGTGGAAATTATACAATGTATGGGGTATAATCAAACTTCTGGGTATGCTGTCACAATTGCGAGGCTATATTCAATTCCTACTCTTACGCCCACGTCACTCCCCTTGGAAAGGAGAGCAACTCTTGTACAAAATGCGGTAGCCAACCCCCGTGGAGTCTTGGGTCACGGCTAATGAGAGAGGAAGCTTCAGTGAAGCCACTCCGACTTATTCGGTTTAAGGGTCTGCTGAAGTCTAATTTCGGCGTCATTTGACCAGAGTTGCGGCTGCGTGCGAGCGTCAGTATTGACGCGAGCGACTCGCTATATAAATGCGTAAAAGAAAACTTTAAACTTTAAGCCGCATCAAATCGAAATTTTTTAATTTTTCGTTCGTTTGATCCCACGTCCCGACAGAAGAGATGGTCGCTTTGGCCAAAAATGAGCACCCAGCCTTTTACGAGCGCCCGAAGCATATTTGCGAGCGCTGCCCCCGACTCGATGTGAAAATCGTGCTTGTCAATTTTAATGCTAGGGCGGATAAAGAAGGTATCTTTGGTATGACCGTTGGACAATTCAGCCTTCACAATGAAACATCTCCTAATGGTTTGAGGCTAATCGACTTTGCCGGGGCACGAAATATGGTTGTTTGTAGGACTTGATTCCAGCACAAGAAAATTCACCAAGCTACTTGGCTGTATCCAGATCGAAAATCTCTCTACCAGATCGATTATGTATCCAGTGTTTTGAATGTGCGTATGTTCCGATTTCCTAACATCGTCGCAGCAGAGATACATACGTGCGTCCTTCGACGTTAAAAAGCTTTAATCACAACAGACTGACGAGCCATTTTCTGCTCAACTTTTTCTCTGAGAGCACTCAGCAGTAACTCGGTATGCGGAACCTGTTGGACAGCATTTCAAGCTCTTTGCGTACAGCTGCAAACGAAACTACTGGATTTTGTAAAGGTCGCAAAAACAGCTGGTACGATAAGGACTGCAGTGTCGGAGTGGAGGGAAAACAGACTGCCTACTTCGCAACCCTCCGATCGACCATAAAAGGTGCGAAATGGGATAGCTATCGAAAGATGAAGAGGGAAGCAAGACGCATGTGCAGACAAAAAAAGAAAGAAGCAAAGTTTTTCCGTGACGTGAAGTTCATCTAACTGGAGCTAAGAACGTGTTAAATGAGTGGACTTTTTAAGATGTGGGTAGTGATGTGCCTAAACCCCTTGCATGCATGGCGTACTCTGTATGTCGGGGTCAATCCTGAACAGATAGGAGTGGAACCCACTGCAGTATCCAGAGGGCAATAGTGCCAGTATTACTCGGATTACGCGAATCTCTGCGTTTGCTATGGGTGGTGGTTGGATTCAGTTGACACCAGACTATCTGTGAATGGTGTTGTGGGCCTGTCGGTTGTTCGTCCTGTTCAAAACATCTATAGTATGGTGCTGAGCGCAATCCGTTAGATCAAGTACTCTCTTTCTGAGGTCCTTGGTGATGACGTAGATTTAAAGATTTTGTTCCGGTTTTGTATTTTGGTGGCAACCATTTGAAGAGCAAAGTAGTGTAGACTCTCGAATGCGACGATCAGTAACTTTAGATGTTTTACTGTTGGTATTTTGGAGCTATCGACTCTCACATTTAGTCCGAGAGTCGGTACTCTTTCCCCGAGATGGTTAAGTATGTAATGAGGCAGCTTTTAATTGTAGTTGTCATGCGGTGAAGACATAAAATGGAATGAAAGATTATTCATTTTCCGCCCAGATGACGAAATCGAACAGTCATGTGTATATGGGATCAAGGTAATGTCTTCCGGTGGTAAGTGGGTACTGTTGCGTGGCATAAGAAAAATCACATTTCATTAACGATTGAAGCCATTGCAATTGGTTGTTTTGTGTAGTTACCCAAGCGGATATGTTGAATAAGTTAACTGAATCGTTTTGTGGAGCCGAATGAAGCCAAATGAATTTTCATTATCCCCCCCCCCTACACATTCGGCAAAAATCTTGCAGCAAATTTTCAACAAAATCTTGCAAATTTACATATAATTCTACTGTACCAATACTCACTTGTATGGCGAATCGTTGTATTCACTCTCATAGTCCTTAGGATTCGAAAAGAAGCGCTTCTGAGTGAGGCGATATTTTGTGGTTGATACCTGCTCGACAGTCACAACGGGGAAACCCATTTGTACAGTCCAAGTATTCATAATCGTTTTCACATCCAAATCTAAGCCCAATTTTTCAATTTCATTTAAGAAATCTTCGGTGACAGCATTTTTGAATTTATATTCATTTAGATAGTTAGTAACAGCTTTCTGGAAATTCTCAGCGCCAATGAAATCCTCTAACATGCGTATGAGCGAACCTCCCTTGCCATATGTGATTGTATCGAATATTTCCGTTATTTCAGCGGGACTCTCAACAGTCTGTATGATGGGGTGCGAGCCTAAGGTGGCATCGAGTGTGAGAACTTCATGCAGGCGTGTTACAATGAATTGATCAAGCTGTAAGCGCGAAAAAAAGAGAGTGTGAGAGAAGGTAACGAGTAGAATGTAATGTAACTCATTTTTTTTATATTACAAACCATTTTCCATTCTGGAAATACAGCATTGATACCCTTGTTCTCAATATATCTAGCGAAACCCTCATTAAGCCACAAATCATTCCACCATTTCATAGTTACTGTAAATAAATGTAAGTATAGAGCAATAAATTTACTATACTATTAAATTTTTCTGTATAGTCGTTGCTTGTTAATCAGTATGATTTATCGCACTTTGCGCCTTTGATATTTCAAACTATTTTTTTTTTTTACCTACCCAAATTTCCAAACCACATATGAGCAAACTCGTGAGCAATGACCAACGCCACACGTTGCTTATTCGCCGTCGAACTCTCCTCGTTATCGTAAAGTAGTGCGGTTTCCCGATAAGTCACCAGACCCCAATGTTCCATAGCGCCGGAGACAAAGTCGGGTATTGCGACCATGTCTATGCAAAGGGGAAAATTTATTATACCATCGCAAGTCTCTCATAACAGTTGCCATGTCGTACTCACCCATTTTCGGCAGTGGATATTCAATTTGAAAATATTGTATATAATATTCCATAACAGCTTTACCGACTTCCAAAGCGAAATCGACTTTATCTAACTGCTCGGGTGTGGCAAAAGCGCGCAATGTGAATGTGTCACCAATACCCTTCGTATCGATTTCGGCAGATTTGCTTTGGAAATCCGAAACAATAAAACAGGCCAAATATGTGCTCATCGGCACGCTTTGGTTGAAGTACACCTCGGTATATTTACCCTGATAGGAAGTACTCTGATGGTGATGTAGTCAGAGAAGAAGAGAAAGAAATATTTGAATTAACATATAATAAATCCTTTTCGATTATCGATAACAATTACTACTTACAGCAATATTCATATTGGAGAGCGCATGATAATCATCCCCTGAGGGTTGTACGAGCGTGATTTGAAATGTTGCCTTCATTGCTGGCTCATCGAAGCACGGAAAGGCGAGACGTGCATAGGTGGGTTCGAATTTTGAAGTAGCGATAAGTCTGAAGGAACATATAAGTGAGGTTAGTTAACTCATTAGTCATTAGTGTGAGGAAGAACACTAATAGAGCCGTAAAAATATTCCTCAAATTGGTTGTCGGGCAATATTGTGGGAGTGACAGCCCTGGGCGGATAAAAAATCCGGGTCGTTCGCGAACAAAAACCCAACTGTCGCTGGAACTATTGGATTTTAGTCGCCACAACGACATGCATGCCTTACCACAGATAAATTCTTTAGCCTCTAACCCGCAGGGGGGCGGATAGAAATTGCTGTATTTCCTAGTCTATTACCACTTCTGACCCACTTCTGAAAGAGTGCAGAACTATTCCAAAGCTTCTCTGAGGCTGCCACAACATCACAAACTGGTACGAAGCCGCAACAGCAACCACCGCCTGAAAGGGTAGTGAGAGCAATCGTGCTTTATGGCTCTACGATTTGGTTCACAGCGTTGGAAATATAATCTAAAACCCTTGGCGTTAAATCCACGTACCGTCGGTGCGCACTCATAGACGACAAGAATTGTAGAGCAGCAGTATCAAAAGCGCCGAAAGACTTATATTGCAAGGTGAAGGCGGACTCACCGCCAGACCGACATTTAACGCACGTGCTTAGTGGTTATGGATGCTTTAAAAACACCGGTTTGGTCATGAACCGACTCCATACTGCAAAATTTGTGACCCAGAATCCATAGAAAATACCGAGCACGTAATATTCGGCTCCGAGGACAGAGGCAAAGACTGAACGAATGCATGAACTAAGGCGAGCACCAGTAGCGAAGGTACGATAACTTGCTTACTGGGTACTTAGTGACGAGTACTGAAACCAAAAGACGGTTAAAAAATGTTGACGACAGACGATCTCGACTCAGACTACTGAGCTATTAGCAGCTCCTCCAGTGAAATACCCAAAAGCAGCACCAGGCGTTACCGTACAGTTGGTGGTTACAGTTTCAAAAGGGAGGGTTCACGGCTTTCGATACCTTCCATCTTCCACAAAAAAATGTACCATTTGTTTGTGAGTTTGGACATTTTCAATGACAATCCCAATAAGTCAAATTCTCAGTATAAAGTTCGCAGTTTATGAAATGATTAGGTCTACACTTGAAGAAAATTGGGAAATGAGGCTTACACTTGAAGAAAATTGGGAAATATGGAAAACTGACTTCCAAAAGTATGAGCCTTCAACCGCAACTGCAAGAAATTTGCTTACATAGTTTACCGACTTCCGTATGAAGATTTATAAGGTCCAAGGGTTCAAGAACTGAAGACACATTACCATTGGAAGGGATTTTGCTGCGCTCAACGAGCTGAATATGAACATTTCTACCGAAAAATAGTCTTTGACTGCGAAGCTTTGGGGCTCCGAAAAAATTAACCGAAACAACAAAATCAATTGGCCACCCCACAACTGCGATTTGGCTCGTTAAGACTATTTTTTTGTTTGAAGTCGTTAAGTGTAAGTGCTGGGCCAACCGTCCAGAGGCGATTCATGACTTGAAACATGAAATTGAAGTCGCCATTACAGCCACACAATCGAAAATATTTGAATATGAAATCTAAGAAACAACTATCCTGCAGGAGAAAAAACTAGTTGCCAACTGGACTCCAACTAGTTTACACTTTTACACCAACTAGTTCATCTTCATCCATTTTCCATGTAAGAAACTGATATTTTTAACACGGCGATGTCCTACGAGCTGACAATTGTCCTACTATGCATCAGCTTCATACTAGTTTAATACTAGTTCATTTAGGCATGTTGAATTTCTACTTCACCAAAAAACAAAAAAAAAAAACTGAATTAAATAAAATTCGATTTGCCGGCTGTGAGAATCGAACCGAGACCCTCACGCATCACAGTGAAGACCTTATAAGAGCACACAATTTCGTTTTGTACACACGTGTCTTCACCGGAAACTAACGAAATCAGAAGACGACGAATACGAGAGTTAATATTATATTTGATCAGACAATTTAATGCCACAAACTAGATATGACCATGAAAGGTATAGAAACAGTTCGCTTTGTGTTTTAACTGAAAATCTATTGCTTTGCTTTTTAAGGGATTTTCCCGAAAATGACTGTTAATTGAACTCTGTTCCAGATCTCATAACATTCACGGCCCATTCATCATTCTTTCTCTTACTACAATTTAATGCATTTTATCTTATCTAAATTTCAACTGACCACACACCTAATATTCATGCCATTACTCACTTTTTACTATTGTCCTCCTTCAGATATGATGAACTATAGAGACCCGTAATTTTTCCATCCATATTACCAGCAAATATTATGCCAATATCAAAGACACGTCCAGCGCTCAGCTCTTCGCTCAATGTGATGATCAGAAATTCGCGCAATGTATCCAGTTCATAGCTTCTTACATAAATCGTGGAGCTTCCGGTGTTCTTTAAGTATACACTACTAATGTTTAAGTTGCTTGAGTGTAGCACAATTTCGCTGATGACGCTTGTGGTGTTCACTCTGATGATTACTTGGCCAGAGAAATCACCCGTCTCGATATCTGGATGCAGATATAGATCGTAGTTGGTGGGGTAAACGCTCTCGGGCAGTCTATAGTTGATCTAAGCAGCACAAAGAAAATGGAATTTTATTATTATTTCAATTTAATTTTCATTTTTTGCTCACAACTTCCGTATCATCCTTTAACTGTGCCAACACGCTGGTCGTGCCGAAGCCCATAAGGACTAAACTCAAAATGATCGCACACCCTTTAATTAACATTTTGTTTTGAATTTCCAGTATGCGTACGAGTGACTAATTTGCGGTATGGCTTAACCGCTATCGCGCGCTTCCAAACTCTTACTGTTCAACAAATCAAGTGTATGAAGCGAATGCGTGTAGTTTTTGGCACATTTCCTTTGGTCAAAATCTAAATTACCCAATCTAATCTTTCGTTTATAGGTAGTCGATTTATCGATTCTGATAATACAGATATTTATGCATTTAGTATTTGATTAGTTGCGTATTATGTGTGATTAAAGTCTGTACTATTTACGGGCATAATTAAGTAGTTTATTAGATCAGTTACCGCTATCTAGATATATACAATTTAGGGGAGCATTCCCTAGCAAATGAGATTTCAAATTTGATTTAGCATATTTTTAAAGTTCTGAATTCATCAATGGGAATGGGGAATGAGCGCTGCTGACACATCACATTTTAATTACTTTGATTTTACGATAAACCTCATTAACAACTTATGTTAGGTTAGGTTGCGCTGGTCGACTGCAGAGGAGGGCTCAAATAAACTTTACTTCCTCTATAGTGTACCCAAGTACACTCAATACGCCCATTGAGTACTACCACAAATCCAGTTGTGCTTCTGGTTTTCAGTTCATTGCTGTTCTCTTGATAAAGCATGCGGCCCCTGTTGTCTGAATATCCTGAAATTTACCCTCATCAAGTGAGAACATTATTTGTCTGCAGAACGCCGAGCTCTCACATATTACACGCTGTAGTGTCCTTACCTCTTGCCGGTATTTACTGCATTTGCTATACTCAACTAGAGCTTATTCAAAGTCATGGAACCTCAGCAGGTAAGGCGCTGTTAACGAACCTACTAGTAACCTGAAGTCTGACCTCTAAGTTACTTATTGAAGGGTGTTTTTTTTAAATGTGCAGTTTTCAAATAGGCAATACTTTATTCGGTGGTAGTATTTTGTACAAAGTTCCGTAAGATAACCGAATAAATCTGAAATTGGACCTATGCTCATACACTTAACGGAAGACTCTGCCGAATGATGTTGCTTTGCGCCTTTAGAAAATCCAATTCGTTCAAGAATTGAAGGCGAATGGCTATCGAGCGCGTCGCATGTTCGTTAAATGTTCCCAAAACGAGATGACCACCGATCCCGACTTTTACAAGAAATTTTTGTCTACTGATGAAATTCACTCTGGTTGGAATGGCTATTTTAATAAACCAAATTTTCACATTTGGAGTCATTATAAGCTAAAGCCCATCGTTGAGAAACCGTTAGATTCTCAAAAAGTCACTGTGTAGTTTGCTTTCTGGGCCGAGGGAATCATTCGGTTTATGATTATTCTGTGCTTGAATTGGAGAATTTCGAGGTGGACGGTGTTTGGTTCCAACAAGACGTCACTACCTGCCATTTATTGAAGGAAACTTTTCGTGAGTGTATTACCCCGGGTCGTAGGCCTGCTTGAAAAATAGCTTGCCTGTGCTGACGAGAGCGATGTGATTGACGCCTTGAAGGATAATATTTGGTGCGCTATTGCCGTATATCAACACCAGCTGCTGCAAAAAGTGGTCGATAATTAGGACTCTCGGCTCGGCTTTTTTCTTTATAATAAAGCTCATCTGCAAGTACGCAGATTCTTGTCTGCTAACTTCAGTCATTCAGCGGTTTTACCATTGAGTACAAGCTGGGTCTTTGTAGTTCCTTGTGCAGAGGTTTAGATTCGTTTTATCAGTTTATTAGTTCCAAAGAGTTAGATCAGCTGTTGTTCCAAGGAAGCTCAATAGAAAGAGATTTCCTAAATTTTGAAATGTCCAGAGCAGGGCAGTCGAATAAAGAGGTTGGAAAAGGTTTTCCCATATTCATAACTTTTACCGCCTGCAGCATCTTTAATTAGGAGTTCCCAATCATCCTGCATGTTATCGAAGAGTGGCTTTCCCGAACCCCTTTTAGACTGTAGAAAACCTTTTCGAAGGTCAATTTCTTCAACGGCATGGGAAAAAGTCTTTAAAGTAGTTTTTCTTTATAGGGCAGAAGTTGCTTGGTCAAGCCGCGTCCAGCGTGTTCATCCGTACGTGCTTATAACCTTAATTTCCACACTGCCAGCAGGATGGTATATCCGTGTCAGCTGGTTGTTCGTGCACCGAAATTATTTTCAATTAATCCTGCTGACACTGTGGCGGGACTGCGCTCAAGGTGCTCATAAAAAAATCTTCCTAGTTAAAGGATCCGGCATGCCGGATGCATGCCCATAAATCAATATCCTCACAAAGTGGTAAAGTGGGTCTCTCATCCGAGACATTGTTAACTTTTTCTTTGGAGCTGATTTCTACATAGCTTGGGACTGTCGTTCAACCTCGCTCAAATTTTGCACACATTAACTCTTAGCCCTGACCCAGAGTTCCACACGGATCGGTTACCACATCTGCACAAAGGTTGCTCACGTTGCCCAAGCGCAACATCGAATATTGCCCTGCATCTGCAACTTCATACTCAGAAGCTTGAATGAACCCCCCCGAGGTTGGTAGGGAGTACCTCTAAATGAAAAAAACTTTCCACGCATTTAACTTTTAATTTCCATTTCATTAACAACAATTTCTTCACTTTTAAACATAGCTCTTAGGTAATGCAAATAATCATCAATTGATCCAAGCCGCCGGTTTACCCTCCACCCGATAGCCATTGTAAGCTGTCGACGTAGAAGCGGCCGCCAATTCCGAGCGCCGACTTGGCTCACCAGCCCAATACGAGGGTGCGACTTCATAGGATTGTACCATTTTATTGCTATTCCTTATTGCTGAGAGTATGAGCAGGAATATCGCCAATTTGCCGATTAATATCGATTTCACCAACAACAATTTCAATTTGGTGACCAGAAATGGCACGATAGCGGATTGAATGAGGAAGGGCAAGACAAAGAGCGGCAACACTTTGGTGACCATATCGTATTTCTTGCCGCGACCTGTTAAAGAGCGGAAAGGGAAATAGAAGTTTTGTATATTATATATATATATATATATGTATGTATGTACATATATAAACAATAGCTCATTGGTATCATAAGCGTTTTATCATCACTGACATTAATTTCAAATTAATTCGGCTCTTGCGCCACTTACCTTCCTCCGTATTATCGCTCAGCCAACGCCCCCGCATTATTTCCCTCAGATTATCACCATCCAAATTGACATTCACGATATCGTTTAACATATCGAAGCTCATATTGACGCCCGGTCCGATTGCGTAGCGATAATGCTTATCGCTGGCAGCGTCGTTGAACTGTGTCGAGAAGTGTGTACCGTTAAGTGCTGGTTCGTTTACATTTTCGCCGGTGTTTTTAGTATAATCAACATTGTTGTTGTGCTGCATGATGATGTTATCAGTAACGGCACTTGACTCGCTGAAGTGAGTATTGATTTTTGTGCGCTTAGCAGACGCGTGCGCGCGGTTATATTTACGTTTACGCTTACGTAGCTTTTCTTTTAACTTCGCTTTGAGTGCTTCACTTAGCTCGCTCACCGCTGAGGCTGGCGTTGGCGATTCTGGCGTTGGTGCGGCTGATGTTGGCGCTGCTGACGTTGGCGATGGTGTTGGTGGTGATGATATCGGTGCAGGCTCTGTGACCTCCGCTGCTGAAGTTTCGCCCTTAAGTCTTTCGTCTTCAATAGACACTTCATCGCCCAGCGTCGTTGTGCGTCCGGCTGCAGGTTGGGCGGTGGTGATGGTTGAGTGGCTTAGCGCTGTGGCGGCGGCATTTAAGCGTTCAATCAAACGCTTCTTATACTCCGCCGAAGTGCCATTTCCCATGTAAGTGCTCTTGTAACTCTTATAAACCCCTCTAAAGGCATTCTTCAGCGGCCTCATTGTTTCCTTCACCTGCGCCTGATGCACGTCCATCAGTTCTTTGCGTGTTAATTTGTACTCGCCACCATCTTCGTAGCTGTTGTCGGCGATGCTGCGTGCTCTGGCTTTTGGTAATGTTATTGCTGCTGTTGTTGTTGCTATTGTATCTGTCTCATCTGTTGGGCTTTGCGTTTCTGTTGCCGCATCGGCATCCGATTTATCGCTAGCAACCACCAAGGGCAGTGCAACATTTTCGTCGTTATTACTGGCGTTCGCCGCGACTTTGCTGGTAGCTTCGCTGGCATTTAGAATTTTCAAATTTATATTCACAAACACAAATAGGGTTAGAAATATACGAAATTTCGCATACATTTTCTCAATAATTAGAATAATGATTTCCAGCGCGTAGCCGTTAGCCGATTGTATAGCATATATATATATACACACGTATGTATTGGTGTTTATAAATGAAAGCCCAACTACTTGACGTCTTCTCGCCGCAGATATCGAGGCAGAAATGTGCTGGCCGCTGTTATCGTGTTCATTTTATTAACTCGCATCGAACACACCGGCACTGGTGTGTGCCATGGCATATCTGGCGAGCGCGAGAATCCACCACCACAGACCACAGTTATGTGGGCAAGCGGGAGGCTGCTAGATGAACATGTTCACCCAAATAAAAAACTGCACGACTGGTTAATTCTAGAATTTCCAGTCGACGTTAACCAAGAATTCAATTAGTTCAGCCAATGAAGAGTTCAACAATAGGAGCAACAAAGTACGTATGGGCATATACATACATATGTATACTGTAAATAGCCGTATGAAAATTGCTTACCAATTATTTATTTATACATTGCACAGTGGCACGGTGTCAAAGAATGAATTGGTAAAAAAATTAAAAGAAACAAGAAATTGGATTTAGGTAGAAAACAAAATCAATACTAGGCCAGAGAAAAACTCATAAATTAGAGCTTACCGTTAAAATTTTGATTGCTTTCTCACTATAATATTGCTTTGAAGAGCAAATGGCCTTAATGCCGCAGAAATGATTTTCAAAATTTGATTTCAGAATTTCTTTGTAAGCAGATTGAAAGACTTTGAAGTTTATCGCACTCTACAATTTTTTTTTAATTCTTTAAGGCCAGGTTCCCCTAAAAAATTTAAAAAAATCTAATTTTTTTCCTGTAAATTGCTAGAAAATACTCTTTGTCTCGAAGGCCCACAAAGCCAAGAAGTAGGTATGGAAGAGGTTTAAGCAGAGCGTGCCAAGTGGTAAATCCGGACGAACAATTACTTTAATCGCATTTTTCGCGAAACCATGCTTTTCAACTGGGTAGCACTCTTATTTAGAACCTATTAAACTTATCAACAGGAATTAAACGGGATTTTACTCCTAAAATGTCTCCCTATGGTGGGTACTACAACCAAAAATAGTCATTATTATTTAAAAAGTAATAAACAATTTTTGTGAAAACGTTCCGGCCATATCCCATGTGATACGGAATAAGAAACCGTGTCACGCACCAAAAAAAGGAACGTGTTTCAGAAGAAATTTTAAGAGTTGTCACATAAAAAAAATTTCAATGAATATTAATAAATATTTTTTTAAAATAAATGAAAAAATGCACGATTTTTGGAGGAAAGTGGCCTCAAAAATAAATGCAATTTCATTCACTTAACTACATGACAACCCTAAGTGGTTATCGAACACAACGGTGCATAATTTATATTAATTAAATAAATTTAACTTTAGCAAATAGAGCCTTTTATTAGAGTGAATGTCTCTCTTTAGCGCTTTTTTAATGGTATTAGTTGATAAATGGGTGGCAACAGTATTTAAAAACAAGTTCAAAATCTTCTAATTTTATACAAAAATTTTCATAATATTTAACTTCCTTTTTCTTATGGGCTGATCACTTTTGCAAACAGGTTGGCAGCTCTGTTATACCCATTATGATTTAAGTCTCTCTCAATTAGATCACATCTGGTAACTATACAATGAAAAAATAAAATTAAATGTTTTCCATACAGCTGGCAACGCTCAATATCCATTTATGTGATTTATCTTTACCAATATATGTATGTAGATATTTATATTTTTTATTTGAATTATTCACTTAAAAATTTCTCTTTAGATATTTTTATTGAATGGCAACTCTAAGCACAAAAAAGCGCATACAAAATTAATTTTAATCTCTTTATTTCCTTTAATGATAGTCAAATATTTCATATATTATTTCAAGACTCTACGCTTATTAAAGTTTTTCGATATTCCATAGGTGGTACCACCCTTCAAAAACAAAGCTGGAAAAAATGTTTTTAATTTTTTTTTTAATGAATTTCATAAATTTAAATATTAATAAAGTTTCGTTTTTAAAAATTAATTTTTACAACTTTTAAATAAGTGGCGACCTCAATCAAACTTTTATCGCGTTCTTCTGATGTATTCACCGTATAATTATTTTTATTCATTAATTTCCAAAAAATTTTGATATAAGAATTTAATTATTTTAAAGCAATAGGTGGCATCTCTGTCAAAAGTGATATCTATTTCAATCATAATCAAGTACTTTTAGTTATATTTTTAACTGCTGCTTACTTGTAAATTTTAAATTCTAAAAAAATAACGGCAACCATAAACAAATTTTTAATGTTCTTGTTTTAGTTTTCTAATAGTCAGCAACTCTAAAGTAAATCTTACTAAACTTGAAAAAAAATTATTTGATTACATTTTGTAAGAAAATTTTTCTTATGTCAATCAGTTGGCAACCTTGGAAAATATATTTTGTACACACTTAGGCTAGAAAAAATTTTTTTTTATTAAATTTTAAGTAAAATTTTATTTGGAAAAATTTCTTTAAACAAAAGAAAATAAAAAAAAATTTTTTCAAATTCCAAAAGTTGGCAACTCTGAAATATTGCTGTATTTTTTTCTTATAAATTTTAAATAAATGCACAGAAATAAGAAGTTTTACTAGAAACTAAGGAATTTAATGAAGAATTGATGGATTTTTTGAATAATTTTCCGAGTTGCAAGATTAATAGAAATACACTTTATTTTCAAGTAAAAAATAACAATTTACCTTAAATTAAATGCGCCCTTTCATGTAGACGATCTAAGTACACTCTTTATATTTAAAATATTTTATTAAAATAAATTTACATTTTTACCACCCAAAGTACCACTGTGCATTGCGGTGAGACAAGAAATTGTGGCAAAGTGTCATTTCGTTCGTTTGTTGGCCAAACACTTGTGCACTTGTATGTGTGTGTACACCACTGGAAGTGACCACAATGCGATATCAAAACAAACCAAATATGGATACTTTCATTCTAACTAGGTTCTCAGCCTGTTGAATTTTCACGGTCCAGCAGCTTAAACAAGCTCCACAGCTCATTCCTGACCTGCTACACATTTCTCATTACTTTTTCCACTTTCTATGTGGTATGCTTCGCTTTCCATATTGGCGGTTAGCAGACATCCAGTCGCTCAGCTCAAAAGTGCCGCTTCAGAACGCCACTGTTCGGTTGTCGATAACTGAAATCGATCAATATAGATTTATATTTATACTTGCATGTGTTGAAAGTAGGTCTCAATTCTTATAAGTATATATTGCATTTTGCATTTAGACATTTTCAATGACGTACCCCCCAGTAGGCTGAGTGACCAATGCATTGTTATCCGTATTGTATTGAGCGCATCCGTTAATGAGAAAGAAATTGCCACAAAACAAGAAACTTATAAATTTATATACATATATACTAGTAAACCTAATATTTTTTAGCAACACTTATTGTGTTTTACTTACTTTACTTTACTTTTCTTAACTTAAACTTTACTTAACTTAAACAGCTGCACTGACTGAAGCAAAGACCGAAGGCGGCTCAAAATATAATTAGTCCATCCGATATCGCGTGCAACAATTAGAGCTGTGCCTCATCTACTTTATGGAAGATTTAAGTATCACTAGTCCATATTGCTTCAAAAATTACTTCAAATATTGCAACTAATGGGGAACCCATGCCATGAATTAGAGAATGTTGATGTGGACGACCTTTGGTTCTAACAAGACGGCGCTATATGCCCCACAGCTGAGGAAACAATAAATTTATCGAAGGAAACTTTTGGTCAGTGCATTATCTCGCGTCGCGGGCTAGGCCTGAATAAGACTCTTTGTAATGTCAAAAGCTGTCAATCATTACGCTGCTCTTTTAACCACTTTCTTCATCTGATGATACATAACTTTATCTTCGATAGACAAATCAATTATATAACCAGCTAGGCTTGCCTTGAAATTTTATTCGGTCTTAACACTGGTGTATGACCAAACTTTCGTCAATCAAACCGAATTGTTTAAAATAGCACCAAACGAGGCTTTTCCAAGATTTGGCACATGGTGAATATCTGGTCAATAATGGCCTTGCCAGATCTAAAAGACTTTATATGCGATATTTAAGAGACTAACGCCCCGGTAATTGACACAGACCGTAGATTGGGCAACGCACACTTAGATTCCAATCGTCGGGCATACTTTCGCTCGATTATATTCTGCAAAGAAACCGAAGCATGCATCTTGTCAGTGCTTCGTCGACACTTTTGAATAACTATGCCAGAAGCCATCGGCTCCTGCCGGTTTGTTGTACTTTAATCGGGCAATTTAATAATCGGGTAAAGGAACGTCTTTTCCATTATCATCATCGACTGGGATTTCCATGTTTACCATATCCATTTATTGTACTTTTACTACAGGCTGGAGAAATGTTCCATACACCTAGTATGCACTGAGCATCTCTCTCCAGATTACCACCTGGGTGCTTATATCAATATCCTTAAAACCTTTTGTGAGTCGTCGCTTTTAATAGAATTTTTACCCTTCTCGACCTACCTCTTATCCTCTTCATACCATCCCACTTCGGCCTTTTCTTATTTGCCTGCACTTTGCTTTTCTCTTCAGCTCTCGTTTTCTAACTCACCACGCACGTGTTGTGGTCGAAGTACGCAGTCTATTTCCTCTCCACAGTAGTTCGACATTTCTCATCACTCTTTTGTGGAGTTTTAGATACCGTTCGATATCGAGTTGCTGATGAGTGATCTTGGAAAGCTGGTGGACAAAAAGAGTAAAAAACCGTTCGGCTGTCTGTTGTGATTGGAGAGGCTTGTGTGTATCTTCACTGCGACAAGATAGTGATAGTGATTGTACGTACATCTAGAATACTAGAAACATGTCTTCCGTCAACCACAACACATTTGTGTTGCTTCGTCCTACTCTTTCATGAGAAGATGTGCTGAAAGAACTACGATTTGATGCGGATTGTGACAAGATGTTCATCCACCACAAACCAACATCAAATTTCTACACCTTTGTTCTTCAGCTGTAGAAGATTTCACAGAAACCCATTTTCTTC